ATTAGTAATGTAACTTTACCAAACTAGTAACATAATGTGACAAGTTATTCAAGTACAAACGAGTGGCTTGTTGCGAAACTTATGGGTGGACCTCTGCGGGACGAGCGCAGCGAGTTCCGCAGCCATTTATTCACCAATATGTTGTTCAAGTACAATACTAACTTGATTCTCTCAGTTGTGAGTTTTTCTCATTAGTTCAAAAACTACATTTAGATTAATGTCTCACTTGAACGGTTCAACAGTATATTGGTGAGTAGATGATTGCGGAACTTTTTACGCTCGTCGCGCAGAGATCTACCAATTAGTTCCGCAATAATCCACTTATTTGTACCGGGTGTTTTTTCATCTTTGATATCATTTTGATCACCTGTAACTTTTTTGTTTTTGAAGTTATCAAGGTAAACAAAAAAACAAAGTGTAGGGTTAGTAGCCAAGTTTTTTTTCAAGTTACACATGAAACAAAACACTATCCATTTTTTGACATAAAAGCCTACATTATATTTTTTTTTAAATGGAACACCCTGTATATTATATCTATGTTCGATAGAATATCTTATTCTGATTACAATGATATAACACAAGTTTCATATTTTTGCCGATTTGTCAAAAACGAGTGGAAATTTTCAAATTTCATGAGAGATATTGAATCAAAATTTTCGGGAATCGTAGCCCCCATTAGGATTCAGAAAATGTGTATTGGAAAATATTTCCAGTTTTATAGTTTGAGGTTCAATTGCTCAAAAAATATTTGAGCTATCATCAGAACCAATTTAGAACGAATCTATAGAAAATGTATTGCTCTACACCTTTTCCAATTGTATTTCAGAAGCTGTCAATTGTATTTCAGAAAGTGTTAAATGTATTTCAGAATAGTCAAATGTATTTGAGAAAGCGTTGAATGTATTTCAGAATAGTTAAATGTATTTCAGAAAGCGTAAAATGTATTTCAGAATAGCCAAAAGCATTTGAAAAAGTGAAAATTCGGCGGAAATAATTCAGGAGGGAGGCGACACAAAAAATTACCTACCTATGTCTGTGCAGTTCTTCCTACGTGAGCTCGACGGACCCAACAGGAACTTAATAGTAGCATTTAACTATTCTGAAATTCATTTAACACTTTCTGAAATACATTTAACTATTCTGAAATACATTTGACGCTTTCTGAAATACATTTAACTATTCTGAAATACATTTGACGCTTTCTGAAATACATTTAACTATTCTAAAATACATTTGACGCTTTCTGAACTACATTTGACTATTCTGAAATACATTTGATACCTTCTGAAATACAATTGGAAAAGGTGTAGTTTCTAATGATATACAATTTATTTCAATTAAGATATGAGCAATTAAGCCATTTTCAAACATGATATAATAATGTTAGGAATTATGCTTCACAATTCACATTTGGTAAATATTAAATTGCTAAATAAACTTTATCATTATAAAATTTTGTCGTATCATATTTTATAAGAGTCATCATCAATCACTCTAAAAAAAAAGCTCTAACACGTATAAGCCATTTGTTCGTGTTAGTACATGAAAGCTTTGAGCAAAAAGTAACCGGATATAAATGTCTGTGAATTTATCTTTTCTTGACGACACTTCTCTAGATGTGCGGTGTATTTTATTGCCAAAAAGAAAAGTATCTATTTCAACACATGTTCGGAATCGTCCTAGATTGTAATCACGGTACATTTGTCCTGACCCAAAAAAAAAGGCAGATTAAAGAAAAGGAATTCTCAAATGTCCGTGAAACTTTCAGTTGCAGACAATGGAAAAACCTTTGTGTAACTAGGAAATGGAGAGAAAGGAACTGTAAAACTCATTTTATTGTTCATTGAATTTGTATGTTATTATAATCTTTGTATAGCCAATCTAGAAACTATAGTCAAAAATATTTAAATAACCACAAACATCTATAAATCATCAAGAAAACACAAAATAAAAAACAACAAAATTTGCTAAAAGATGTTTGTTTTGTGTTTGCATGATCCTAACCTCTGAGTTTCAAATTTTTAGGTCTCAGAGCCAGTTCCAATTGGGGATTGATTTATTTAATGCAATTTTAAAATATTTAGCAAGGCCTTCTGTTAAATTTTTCCCAACAATAGATTTCCTATAAACTGGAGAAAAGCTATCGATGTATAAATTGGACAACAATGTTGTCCATTGTTTACACTGGCTTCTATTAGAAAATGTGGGTGTGTTGTTCTTGAACTGAAAAGTTAGTCAACTGGGAACAGAAATAGAAAAATCGGTTCGAAATTTGCGTGGTTTCATTTCGAAAATGGAAAAAGTGTGGGTGAAACAAAAATAAAAAGCACCTTCCATTTTCTATGTAAATTAAAATGACCGAAATGCTATAACAGTTCATTCACCATGAATAAATGATTCATAGAAAGTTGTCCTTTATGATCGATTTTTAAACATCAATGATCCAAGAATATTTACTTTTACGATCCTATACTCATATATTGAGGATATTTTATATGCCTGAAGGAATCTTAAATTTTATGTAGCAGACGGCCCGTCACCATCGGTTTTCGAACTCAGAGTAAATTAGAATAAACGACGTCTCATACTTATAAGTTTGAGCAGAAAAACTATTAATATCAACTAAGCAATTTGGGAATGTAGCAACTCCGAGGTTAATAAAAAGCAACAAATTTCAATATTCAATTTCTGATTATTCCAGGCTCTCAATCAAGAGCCAAGAATAGTCACTGAATTAATTCTGAATTAGAAATGTGCATTATAAAACTCTTTTCCTCTATCTCAAATTAAAATTTTTATGACATCGTTCAGAACATCAGTAAAAGCTTGCCTTAATGTCTTTTGCATATTTTGATTTCATATTCTTTACTTTCTCTCATAAAATTATCCATTTTGTCTGCCAGAAATTTCGGAATAATGAAAACCACCCATTGTAATTTGCAATTTTTAATTCACAGTTGGTGGTCATATTTTAAAGTTTCCTACTCACTTTGATTTAACATTTAATTCACTTTAAACCCACACAAACTACAAAACAAATTTCCCTGTTTGTATTCTCGGTTCATTGACTTTTTAGTTTTAAGAATTACCCTCCTACTCAATCTGATATAAGCCAGTGCAAACAAAGAACAACTTTTCCGTATAAGTTTCTTCCTGGTTATCCAATTTAAACTCCCAGCCAGCTTGCAAACTGGCGACAATCAGTTCTCGATTCAATTTCTTTTTTTTTTATATTCGGATTGAAAAGATGGGGTTAATCATTTGTAGAAGATAATAATACATTGTCGATATGCGTTTGACACCCTTATCAAGGTCTTTTATGTTGAGTTTTCTTTCAGTTCTATATAGGGTAAATAGTATTTATAGAATTTCCAGGAATATTAATTATTCACAAATAATTAATCTATAAAAACTTATTTTTACATTTACAATCGAAAACGTTAATTAGTACGCAAATAAATTAAATAGTTACCTTCAAAGGGAATTTATTATTTATTGAAATGTAATATTTTGCTTTTCAAAGATCAAATGTCGCAAAACATTTTGAAATATTAAATGTTGTAAACAACATGGTAAATGTTGGACAAATAAATGCAACGGAAACGTTTTTCTTTCACTAAAAATGTTGGCTGATTATAAAAGAGAAAAAAATACATTCTCTTGTCTTCTTTGAACGTTTTTCTTTGGGAGAAAAATTATTGTCTGAAATATGAAAGTTTTGCATTATTTTGGTATTGAAAAAGCGTGATGTTCACATTATAAAAAGTATATCATGACTTCATGAATGCATTTATTATCTTGAAGTAAAACGTTGTTATATCGACTTATTATGTTGCGGAGTTGATAATAACTTTTCTTTTGGAAATGTTCTCAGATATAGAAAATATCTTGTCCTTGTCCGTTCTGAGAGACAATAATTAAATTGTAACTGGAAAAAACCTCCTACACTTTCTTGGAAATTAGCTGTTTCCAGTTATCAGGATTTATTTTTGCCCTTTGGAGTAAACAACTGGACAAATGTGTGAGGCATTTCAATATTCCAGGCTCCCTTGAGAGTCTGGTTCATTCCTTTGCCCACTAGAACTTTGTCACTTTTAAAAATACATATTATCAAAATACAAAGTTTACCCTTTTTGCATGCATCATAAATCTAATTACGTTAGTGGATCTAAAAATAGCTGGGAAGCCAAGGCTGTTTTGGAAACATTTTGCCCTTCATGAAGGCAAAATAATTTATTTTTTGTTGCCTGGTAAATTTTTAGTACCCACTATTGTCTCAAAAAAACAAGTTGTTCAACCCCAAATTATTTTAAAAGTGAAACAAATTCTGAAAATAGCTGATAATTCAATTTAGCCACGTTTCTCCACTCTCAAATTTACTCCGTCTTCTGGGAAATCTCACAGCAGTTCCAACATGTAAAACACTGGTCTAAAACTTTAAACAGCAATCCAAAGTTTTTCAGTTTCTCGTAAAATTGAGTCGGGCAAAAATCATTTATTCAATGTTGCTGCAATATTAATTAATAATTCGAATCTTATATTAGTTAATTAGATAATAGGAAAGTGTAATTAATAACGTACATTTTTATATTAGCTGATTAATACATGGATAAAGGCACTTACCCTTATATAACAACCCTAAACTGTGTGGCTTTCTATAGTTAATCCAATTTAAAAAATTCGTGGCCTCAATCGCAACGTAAAACAATTATTCTATTGCTGATATTATTTTGTAAACATTATTCAGGTCAAAATATTCCGTGTGTTTTGTTTATTTACTAAACAAATTGCCCCTCAATAATATAAATGTACAATACGAAATGTTGTTTACCCAATCATTTTACTTCACACAAAAACCTATTCGGAGAAAAACTAAATAAAAACCAATTAAAAATAATGAATACCTACACAAATACAACTCAGATTAATTAAGTATTAACAACATGATTTTGTCTCAGATGAATTTTCAAATATACAAAATGTAAAAATTATCCACTCACCTGATGCACAGACTCGAACAAGTTGGAAAAAGTTCGAAAATATACGAAACTCAAACGGCGCGAAGCTGTACGCGCCAGTGTGCGTTCATAGCGACGGTGAAACTGAAACTTGCTGAAAGTTCTTCGTCTGGTCTCTTCTGAAAAGCGCTGAAATGACGGAGGAAGGTGCGCGATTTCGCCGGAGTTGCATAGAGAGAGGCGACAATCGTCCAATTATAATTTATTTAGTCTGTTGAGCATTGTAAGTTTAGAGTTTAATTTGTCAAAGCCTATAGAATCAACTGATTTCGTTTTTGGAGGTTTTATTGATTCTCTTTCAGAAAACCTATAATATAAGTTGATTCGTTGGTAATTACCTAAACTAAAAGGAAATGTTTGAAAGAATGTCAAACTATAGGAAACTTTCTGAGATCAAAATTGAGATTTTTTTACGATTTGTTTTCCCTTATAACTACCCTTTCCGAAACAATGTGAGATTTGTTTTCAACTTATTTTGACCTACTCTTTCAATAGAAAATGTAAAAATTTGAGAAAAATTGAAAATTTTGATTTTTAATTTTTTATTCAAAATCTTCAATTGGCAATATCTGGTCAACCATGGGAGCTATCAAGTCAAATTTTTCAGAGATTTTATCTCTCATTGAGTACTTTAATACCTTATTCATTAGATATTTTTATCATTTATGGTTTTTCAGTTTCTTTTACATATATAAAAGTTTTTGAGAAAATTTTAGCCAAATCTCCAATTTAAAGTCTAATTTCTCAAAGTCTATAAAAGTAACTAATATCATTTTTGCAGGTTTTATAGAGAATTTAATTTTCTTTCAGAAAACCTATAATACAAGTTGATTTGTTGAAAATTACCAAAACTATGAGCAAATGTTTGAGGGCACGTCAAACTATGAAAAACTTTCTGAGATCAAAATCGAAATTTTCTATTCGATTTTTTTTTTCTCATAAAACTACTCTTTCCGAAATAATGTAAGATTTGTTTTCAACTAACTTTAATCTTCTCTTCCGATAGAAAATGTAAAAATTTGAAAAAAATTAAAAATTGAAAATTTTGATTTTTCATGGGGTAGGGGAGAGCCGCCAACAGTGGCCACCTTTTTGAAGAAGCGCCTACTATTTTTTTATCTGAAGCAATTTAAACGCGTTTAATAATTTTTTACACAGTAAATTTATTTTTTCTGCGATTGACAAGAAATGTCAGCATTTTTGACCGGTTGACAGGTCGCAAAACTCAATATTCTGGTATTTCAATTATGTTTCAATAGTTGCTAAGGAATCAATGAATAACAATACGGGAAACACTTTTCCGGCCTAGGCCGGGAAAGTTATTTTCGTATTGCTGAATAATTGGAACTAAAAGACAGGTATTTAACCGATTCCGTGGGAATATTAGAAGCGGTGGCACGGAGTTCCCAATAGCATTAATAGCTCCTGCTCCTACCATCGTGACTAAGGTTCTTCTTTCACTTGAGGTGATTTGGCCCACTTGTTTTCGTCCCTTCTACGAAACGACTTTGTTTCTGCCTCGAACAGTGAACAGTAGTTGTCAATGCTGTTTCATCTGCATTCCAAATCTGAGATGGGTCATATTTAGGAAGCATGAAATTTGGCAGAGATGTATTTTAGGGTATTCTAAGAGATTTGACCCGGAGGGCCAGCCCAATTTTTGACTGTGACACAAAATGGCGCCTTTTTTTCAAAATGGCGAATCTCAAATTAGTATTTCTCATTTGTTAACAAATTCTAGCGTTCGATATGTCGTTTTCCACTAATTTTGGGTCGTACAGTTCATAAAAAAATTTAGTTTTTCCATTAGGATCAAAATGGCGCCTTTTTTTCAAAATGGCGGACCATAAATTGGTAATTATTATTTGTCAACAGATTTTAGTGTTCAAGATGTCTTTTTCAACTAAGTGTGGGTCGTAGAATTCAATAAAGATATTATTTTTTTTGTTTTTGTCAACATGGCGGCCATTTTTCAAAATGACGTACCATAAATTGATAATTTTTTTAAAAAAAGCTCTTTATTTGCGTTTAACATGTCGGTTTCGACTAATTTTGCGTCGTAAAATTCAATTAAATTAAATTTGGTTTTGATTATGTCGAAAGTTTATTGAAAATTAGTGTACAGAGGGTGTTGGGAAATGGACTAAGAAATAAAAAAACTTGTTAATTATCGATATTCAATATATTTATTATATCGAACACAGCGTGGAAAGCAGAGCGTGTGAACTCATAGAAATAACTATACGAACTGACTCAACATCAAGACAAAGAATTATAAACCCTTTCTTAAGTAAACGATTCCTCATCTGTTTATCTTGGATATAAAAACTATTATAAACACATTCAGTCATCAATAGCTGCGATATAAATTAGCAAAGTATAGGCTAATAATCAAAGTTTAATTTATTAATTTTTGTTTCACTGATATGAATATCAGTTTATCCAACACGCCACCTCAAAAATTTGATCAATTATACTAACAGTGTAATACAACTTAAACCTAATATAACATAAATAAGACTGCTTTCCTTATCTGTGTCTTTTCTGGGGAAAATTACAATTACGGTCCAGCATTTGCTGCTCGGGATTAGGGAAAACCCAGAAAAACCTAATCAAACCATTTAACTTATTTACTAAGCCTAATTCCATTCTAATTTCTCAAATTTCACTTGCATCAATGGTTTGGTAAACATGTCTGCTAGTGGTTTCTCTGTGGACAAATTAATATTTTATATTAATTACGATCAATTAAATATGATTTGATCTTTTGTGATTTGTTGGATTATTTGTAATACTTATTGAGGTCCATTGTTGTCCTCCTAGGTCATAATTGACTCTGATATTAATGTTTATGCATATTTTCTGCTAATGATTTTAACCAAAGTTCCTCTTCAAAAAGAAAAACCATATATTCGGCTTCAGTAGATGATGCCGTTACTGACAACTGCCTTTTTGTATTCCAACATATCACACAAATTTCAAACAGTTTAAATAAATATCCTGATGTGCTTTTTATATTGTTTATATTATCATCTCCACCTTCCTAGTCAAGATTAATAGAATCACTCAAGAAATTGATACATTCACAAGTAAAATATTGTGTCAACTTCACATTGATTTTACCCTTAAAATATCTATGGACCCTTTTCAAATATTGCCAAACTCTTTATTATTCTTGTTTTAATACCTGCTCAAAATATTAACAGTGGTACTTAAATCAGGCTTGATATACATAACATAATATACATTAAACAGACGATTAGATTCCGGCAAGGGCTATCATGTTCTACTTCTGAATTTAAACCAATCAAATTCAGTTTACTAGGAAGTGGAGTGCTGACACAGCTGATGGCAGAACAGTCATTCAAATTAAATTTATGTAAAATAGTTTTCATGTACATTTGAACTGTACCTATATGAAAATTGATCAAGAGTAAATAATTTTATTTTTGATTACCTTTTAATTTTATTACCCAAAAATAGTTTACTGATTTCAAATAAAACATAGAACAGTTATTTGCCAAATCCCTTTTTAAACTATTCAATGTATTATTATCTGCAGTGGCAAATTCCATCTACAGAACTACATAAATAATTTTACATATTGCACCTTTGTCTAAGATATAAATACAGTGGTTAACTGATGAATTTTCAAACCCATTTTCTTTATGAACTTTTACTATTATTTCAAACTAACATCTAGTGGTTTGTTTTAGTTCATAGATACAAAGCCTTGCAAACTTGGTTAGGAGGTTTACTTGTCACACCGTGAGCCAGCTACCCTTCAGCCTTCAGGAACCTTCATAAAAATGGCTTCCTTCAATGACCCATCCGGGAAAGCTGTTTTTACATCCATATGATGTATTAAAAGGATAAACTGATTAAAAACGTTATTATAAAGCAGAAACCTACGATTCTCGCCACCTGTGCAAAGATTTCATTATAATGTACCAAGTAATGTTGACTTAAACCACGAGCATCTAAATGGTTTTCCAATTTCATCATTTTCAATGGAAAATATCCATTTACAATCCACTATATTTTTATATTCGGGTCTTGATACTAACGACTACGTTTTATTTACCAATAATGAGTGAATCAATATCATTTGGCAGATCTGTTTTAATCACAGATTTACTATAAGTACTCATTATTTAGTTTAATGAGTTTATTAGGGTTAACATTTACCTACTTTCTTGAATTGTTACTCATCTGATTTAGCTATATCAGATTTAATAATTAAACCACCGATCTTGACAAATTGCCACTTTCAGGGGAAAGGTTTTATTAGACTATCCAAGATGCTGTCGAACTCAAATTAAAATGTCCGCCAAGAGGCACACAAACCCTTTGTTTGCTTGGCAAAGTCACGTGTTTATGATAGGCTAATTACCAAAGTGTTACATTCATTTTTGACACTTTTCCAGTTTAGTTCAGTTCAGTTTATTAATAACTACTGATCTTGACAAACAATCAGAGGAAACAGCTTTATCATCAAAGTGTTTTACATTCACTTTTTCATAATCACTATTACCTACTAATATTGACTTACTCGAAACCCTGATTGAAAATCACTGGATAGTTTATTTCTATCTACCTATAAACTCAACAAGTTGCATATACACACTATTTTCTCCAAAATTTTGTCAATAGTGCAAAACAAATTTATTGGATGCAATTTACTGGAGGATTTTAATTTAACTACTTTGGGAATCGTGATTATAGTGGAAACTGAATGAATATCATTTGGCAGATCTGTTTTAACCACAGATTTACTATAATCATTCATTATATAGTTTGATAAGTTTGTGGGTTAACAGTTAGCTACTTTCTTGGATTGGTTCCCAACAAACACAACTTATCGGCACTGTAATGTTGCTGTATCACGAACACAGCCCAAACACAGCACATAAATAGTTTTATTAATGCTGCGCAGAACTTGTATTGGGAATACTGTATTTTAGAAGTGCAGTATTTGATATGCAGCGGCTTTGCAGATTTCGTATTGGAAAAGCGATAGATTATTTCGATCTCCCATGCGCATATTGATGCAACAACTGTTGTAAAATGTTAGTACAGTTACTGTAAAGAAATGTGCCGA